CCCCCCCCCCCCCCCCCCCCCCCTTAGTATGATTATAAGCCCTTGATTGACAGTGCCACTCACGTGTGCATACTTGCATGCATTATTATAAAATGTTTAAGGATACACATAGTGAAGTGAATGAAGTTCAGTACAAGATATTACAACATAACTGATCTCAATCAGCCTTGACGCTATTACAACAAAACTGATCTCAATCAGCCTTGACGCTATTACAACATAACTGATCTCAGTCAGCCTTGACGCTCTTACAACATAACTGATCTCAGTCAGCCTTGCCTCTATTACAACATAACTGATATTATAAGCCCTTGATTGACAGTGCCACTCACGTGGGCATACTTGCATGCATTATTATAAAATGTTTAAGGATCCACATAGTGAAGTGAATGAAGTTCAGTACAAGATATTACAACATAACTGATCTAAGTCAGCCTTGACCCCTTTACAACATAACTGATCTCCGTCGGCCTTGACTTTATTACAACAAAACTGACCTCAGTCGGCCTTGACTCTATCACAACATAACTGATCTCAGTCGCCCTTGACTCTATTACAACATAAGTGATCTCAGTCGGCCTTGACTCTATTACAACAAAACTGATCTCAGTCAGCCTGGACTCTATTACAACATAACTGCTCTCAGCCAGCCTTGACTCTATTACAACAAAACTGATCTCAGTCAGCCTCGACTCTATTACAACATAACTGACGTCAGTCAGCCTTGACTCTATTTCAACATAACTGATCTCAGTCGCCCTTGACTCTATTACAACATAACTGATCTCAGTCAGCCTTGACGCTATTACAACATCTCATCCTTTAGCTGAGATTAGGAGATTTAATTACTTACTTCTTTGGATATCAGATTGGCATAATCATCTCTGATTTGGAAGTAAAGACCCAAGGCATCTAATACTGGTTTTAGGTCACTGTAAAATAGACACAACCTTATTTCAGGCATTGGATACAAATAATGCATCAATGGCATTATGTAATACAGTGAAAAAAAATACAGTTACATGTATTTGTGAAATAGATAAAGCATTTTGCAAAATTATCAATAAGATTACTGTCAGATAAAATAAACTGACCACTCCCTTTAAACAGGCAAATATTTACTGTTTTTCATGGTATTTCATGAGATATAATACTTGTACATGTACATTTATGCTAATTTGTGAGGAGAGTTCCTATATTCAGTTTCTGAAAGGAGTTCCTATGTTTAAGTTTTGTGAAAAAATCCTATATATTGATTTGTGAGGAGAGTTCCTTTATTATTTTGTGAGGATAAAAAAGTTTCTTTGTGTAAATATGAAAGGAGAGTTACTAGTTTAATTGGTGAGGAATTCTGCTATGTTATTTTGTGAGGAATTCTGCTATGTTATTTTGTGAATTCTGCAATGTTATTTTGTGAGGAGATTTCTTATGTTAATTTGGAGGAGAGTTCCTATATTACATTGTGAGGAGAGTTCATACAATTGTGAATTTGCAAATTTATGCATATTCAGGACCAAGCATTTCAATGCATAAGCATACACAATAGTTTCTACAGTGACAACACTTTAGAGTCTTACCTTTTGTTATCACTAAACAGCTGCATCAGTCGCACCGCTAGTCCAAACAGTCCGCCCGTTTCTGTAACGCAACAAACCAGGGTTTTTTTCAGTTCATTTGACCCCATAACAGTACTTCATTGAAGATTCCACTGTCATCTACCTGGACAAAAACATATATATTACAACTATACTTAAGGACCAAGGACAGAAGGGAAAAAACTCTAACATGTTTGGGAACTGTAATCAGGAAAATAACCTCCACATTTCTTTGAAAATCTAGAAATAAATCTGCTAAGTGATACGAGTAGGTGAAGTCCAGGGAATTAGAAAGGGGAGATAACTTTGTGTGTGACATACTCTTGGTGACCATGGCTTTGTACTCGTCCTCTGTGGGACAGATAATGGCGTCTCTCCAATAGATGTCCATACCCTGACCACGGTGGAGCTCCAGCAGCTGTTCTGTAATGTGTAACATCACAATTAGGATCACAGTGAAATAGTGTATGGACACACCAAATATTAGGGAAATTGTATAAACAAAACACAATCAGGAAAATAGCGTATAAACAAAACACTTGGAAATATTGTATAAACACAATACAATTAGGGAAGTAGTGTATAAGTAGTGCATAAACATAATATAATTAGGTAAACAGTGTATCATGGTAACATTATCAATTACATGGAGCCAATTAAGTACACGTAAGCTCTCAGTTACCTGCTTCACAGGTCTTTAGCTTGTTTAAACGATCAGACACCTAACACTATTCATACACTCACTTAAAACACAATTCAAAAGTCTGACATTCGTACAATACAATACACAATGCAATATATTTCATTAACGTGTCACATGTCAATATTACAGGTATATACAATACATTAGAAGTCATAAAAACTTTACAAATTGCATTGAAATATATTGACATCCAGCCAGTTTGACTTATGAGACACAATATAGTAAAAAGCTAATCATAGGTAAAACAAGATGTTCTGCAATACATCAAATATAGTGAAGAAGCTAAAATAGGTTGGAGATCATCACTTGTCATGAGACAATAAAATTGTTCATTTCTCAAAAGTTTGGGCAACACTTACTTACCTCACTAATTATAACTCGCCTAATATCAGAATATAACTCACAATCTATTAGAAAATAGCGCTCGTCTTCTACCGATCCTGACTGGCATAAAATACATTGCCTCTCATTTAGTGTTAAAGGAGGGTGAGAATACCGGCCAGTCTCAATTTTCAATTCAAATTACCGCAACGGAACTTGGCTAATGTTTGCCTATGCTTAAAACTAACGACAGTATACATGTGATTCTGGAGTAAGAACAGATATAAACATACGGTACGTATGCGGCTTATTTCCATTATTTTTCCTCAATCATTCCACAGTTCTCGGTACCACTTGCTTTTGTCCTGTTTTGAATACACCTTTAGCTAAATTCATAACAATAACCCGGGATAGGGCTGGGCACTAAGAATTCATTAAGATTGTGTTCCTTTAAAAGCTTTTCAACGCGTTTATCCCAGCTTCCTGTCCTGGTTTTAGACCACTCGTGAAGTGGTTTTACTATACGATCCTCTGTGTTCCCGTGAGCCTTAACCAGTCTACATACTTTAAGTTTTTGCATGACAGCAGTAGAGTCCTGTCCTAGATCACCTATGGTCACAATATTGGATGCTTTGTTTCCGGTGCCTGTGTTTCTGTGTGGCCTCTTGACTGACCAACCAAGCACTTTAGTTACCTGTAAAAACCTTTGTGGCCTTGTGACTGACCGACCAGACACTTTAGTTACCTGTAAAGTATCATGATTGCTTTGTACCTATAAGTCTTAAGACTTTTGGTGAATAAAGAACTTGAGTTACCTGTAAAGATATCTGTGGCCTCATGACTGACCGACCAGACACTTTAATTACCTGTAAAGATCTGTGTGGCTTCTTGACTGACCAACCAATCACTTTAGTTACCTGTAAAAACCTTTGTGGCCTTGTGACTGACCGACCAGACACTTTAGTTACCTGTAAAAACCTTTGTGGCCTTGTGACTGACCAACCAAGCACTTCAGTTACCTGTAAAAACCTTTGTGGCCTTGTGACTGACCGACCAGACACTTTAGTTACCTGTAAAAACCTTTGTGGCCTCATGACTGACCAACCAAGCACTTTAGTTACCTGTAAAAACCTTTTGTGGCCTTGTGACTGACCGACCAGACACTTTAGTTATCTGTAAAAACCTTTGTGGCCTTGTGACTGACTGACCAGACACTTTAGTTACCTGTAAAACCTTTGTGGCCTCGTGACTGACCAACCATACACTTTAGTTACCTGTAAAAACCTTTGTGGCTGCTGGATGTTCCAGTTTTAACACCTTCTCCAGTCCTAGGAAGTATACATAGTTGGCTGAGTTGATTGTATGTGGTACACCATATATACTGTGTGCAACTGAAACAATAAGATACAAAAATACCATATATACATACTGTGTGCAACTGAAACAATAAGATACAAAAATACCATATATACTGTGTGCAACTGAAACAATAAGATACAATAATAATGTCCAACCTATACAATTTTCTATGTTCAGTTTAAACAGTATTTCAATAAACATACTTATTACATACATATGTTTTCAGATAAGATTGGAAAAGCAAGCTTTGATCTGACTCTAACTTTATAGGATGATGTTTCAATTTTGACAACTTAGAAACCATCCATTGACACATAGTGTAAGTATAGGTTTCATAAAAAATGTTTCAATGGTTTCAAATTAACAGCCCAGATAAAATTTTGTTAAAATTTTGCATCTACCATATTTTACTTTTAACTTGGAGATCAATGTCATCATGACTGCACACCTTCTTAAGCTTGTGCAAGTATACTTATGGTTTCATCAAAGTTAAATATCTTTAACACTTTAGACGCGACAAGATTTCACCAGAAATTTTTCACTTTTTTAACCTTTTACCTTGAGGTCAAGGTCACAGTGACCTAATTACAACATGCTGCACAGCTTAAGTGGTAGATGCAATATATAAAGTTATTGGCTTGACAAGATTTCACTGGAAATTTTGCACTTACCTGACGTTTGACCTTGAGATGAAGGTCACAGTGACCATATTATTGTATAGTGCACACCTCCTTTGGGTGATATAGGTCAATTTTTAGGACATAAAAAATGTTAACAGTTTAAGAAGTATGGCCTGTACAAGATCATATTAGAAAAGAAGGACAAGAAGAACCATACTATTACAATGTATGCCTTCATTGAAAGAAGAAATATAATTAGCAACAATATACAACTGTTTCATGGCTATTTGGGGAACAGTCCAAACTATCATCCCGAGGTAGGGGGAAGCCCTGGGGAACTGTTTGCCCGAGGCCGCTAGGCCAAGGGCAAACAGTTCCACAGGGCTTCCCCCTACCGAGGTATAGTAGTTTTGACTGTTCCCCAAATAGCCATGAAACAGTTGTATATTGTTGTTAATTATATTTCTTCTTTCAATGAAGGCATACATTGTAATAGTATGGTTCTTCTTTTCTAATATGATCTTGTGCCATACTTCTTAAATATTAGTATCAATGCTGCATGCAATGTTGCCATTGCTTCAACACTGAGTCGCGGCCACTGAAACGCTTGAAGGGGGCTCTCGAGGGGGGATTTCTGCGCATCGAATTCACATCGNGTTAACAGTTTAAGAAGTATGGCCTGTACAAGATCATATTAGAAAAGAAGAACAAGAAGAACCATACTATTACAATGTATGCCTTCATTCAAAGAAGAAATAAATTAGCAACAATATTTTTTACCTGGAATGCCTCTTCTAAGTTTAGAACTGTCTTCTATATCATCTATTCTGAAATAAACAAAATCATTTATCATAAGGGTGCCCGTTCCACTGCCAAAAACAGTGACTAGAATTGTACAATTATTTCTGAAAAGTACAACAATCTGGTCTGTCAGTGTACTCACAATAAACTGGTATGTATAACTTCTAATGTGAATATATTAGCACTACAAATCTGTCAGCATACTCACAATAAACTGGTATGTATAACTTGTAATGTGAATATATTAGCACTAAAAATCTGTCAGCATACTCACAATAGACTGGTATGGATAACTGCTAATGTGAATATATTAGCACCACAAATCTGTCAGCATACTCACAATAGACTGGTATGTATAACTTCTAATGTGAATATATTAGCACCACAAATCTGTCAGCATACTCACAATAAACTGGTATGTATAACTTCTAATGTGAATATATTAGCACTATGAATCTGTCAGCATACTCACAATAAACTGGTATGCATAACTTCTAATGTGAATATATTAGCACCACAAATCTGTCAGCATACTCACAATAAACTGGTATGTATACCTTCTAATGTGAATATATTAGCACTACAAATCTGTCAGCATACTCACAATAAACTGGCGTTGTGTAACATCTGAGTAGCTTCCCCTATTATTGCCAGTTTTTCAGGTGGAATGTTGAGCCAGTGGTCGAATGCCTAGAAGCAGATGACCAGATATTTCCCCAAATTAACAGTATTTTTTTTCTAAAACATTGAATAAAATCTGGTAAACTTCTGACAAGATAGTCAGAAAATATCTGATCATTTATAATTTTCAAATCCACGAAACAAGTTTTGATCACATGTAAGACATGTAAGATCAAAGTCTAAAAAGGAATCAGGTAATGTGTAATGAAACATATTCAAATTAAAAACAAGTTACATGTAACTAGTGCCGTTTCAGGGAAAACATAGAACTATTTAAATGTTTAAACATTTTTGGTATCAGGTTGTATATAGCTTGAACTTGGTATTCCTTTTGGGTATGAAGAAATACTTTACTCAACTAAGATTAAGTTACTTCATAAGGTTTATTGGATTTTATTTTTTTGAAATGATGTATATGTGTCACAGTGGTAAATGCCGTAGTTGTTTGCCATTGACTTGCATTTGTCTACAAGAAATTTTCCTTTAGCTTAAACAGTTGAGTATTAAAGGAGTTCTGTCCAGAAGGGAGAGAATACAATTTACATATAAACCTGTGACAGTGATGAACCACCTAGTTACTTGTTACTGACCTGTCTAAGGGGAACTATTTGGTAGAGTGTCTACAGTGCCGCTCAGACAACTTACCTCTGCCAGCTTACTCCTTATTTTTTTACCAGGAATTTGACAGATGTATTTGTATGGTTCCAACAACACCTATAAAAACATGAAAAGAAACATATTCTCCAATCATAATCTGCTCACTTCATACATTACTGAGCCTGGTATGAGTGTGTTCTGTGTTGTACCTTACAGCCACTACAGAATGTAATGATACCATGTCACCTAACTTACAACTTTATCAAGTACCAGCTCTGAGAATTATAGAACTAGGGTATTCTCAATAAATCATTGCTACTGTATGTTAAACTTAACTATTTCAAGAAAAATAAAAAGAATTTTATTTTTAGTTTAACATATAGATTATTTGTTGTTCCTTTAATATTACATGTATTGAGTTACATTGTATTGCAAAGCAATTCATTTTTGACACTGTTTGTTTTTCGGTGGCGGATCCAGAGGGGTTTTTTGGGCTTCAGGAAACCCCACCCATCCTGAGAATTTTCTTTAAAAATCATATATTTTCACCATTTTCCTCAATTTATTCCAACATGGAAATCGCCCCAGGAAATTTGGACCCCCCGACCCCAGATAGGTATCTGGATCCGCCACACTGTTTTTAATAAATTATCACAGTTTCAACACGTTTCTCTCACCTGCTCCGTAGTTTGTTCAAATGACTGAGAGGACATCTTTGTAATTATAGAAAGAACCTGTTGAAACAGCAAAGTTAAAACTCAACATGAAAATCTATGTTGATCACTGGCGACCAATTGTGTAGTTCAATTGGTAAAGCATTTTGGAGGGTCTCTGGTTTGAATCCCTCTGGCTGTGCATTTTTTTCTCCAGTTACATATAATTAGAAGTTGTGGCTATTTGAACATTTGAGTTGACCCATGCTTTTAACTGGATCAGTATCGTTTGTAACTAACCTGCATGCCTATCAAGACATCTGTATGTTGTGTGAACTTTTACAATTAGAATTAATGTTATCTTAAAATATGTTTATTATGTCCAGCACAACCAACTTTAACACTGGTTGGGCACAACGGCGCTTATGGGTAATAATCCTGCATTTGGGTAACATCTTTGTATGTTATGGTTGAATGCACTTCGAATCTACTTTCACTATCATATATAAAAAATCAAAATTTTGTACTTCACTTTCTTTATTAAAAATCGCTATTTATATGGTTATTATAAACAACTTTTGGTTGAACGTTTTTTNGTGTTTTGACATTTTCGTGATTTTAGATGTCCCGACTTTTCTAAGGCTTCAAAGGTCGTGAAATACTTTCAAAACCGAAAACTGTTCAACCAAAAGTTGTTTGTAATAACCAATAGATATGGCGATTTTCAATAACGTAAGTGAAGTACAAAATTTTGATTTTTTTATATAGGATAGTGAAAGTAGATTTGAAGTGCATTCAACCATAACATACAAAGATGTTACCCAAATGCAGGATTATTATCCATATGCGCCTTTGTGCCCAACCTGTTTAACGGTTTGATATGGGCTCAAATTAACTGAAAATCATTCAGAGATGTTGTTTACGGAAAGCTGAAAAAATATTCATTGCTGCGACATACGGACTATATGCTGAACTAAACAATTTTACATTGACAAACCATGTCGTTAATACAAATATATTTTTTGCAATATTTTGTGCAATAAATCGCACCGCTACCGGCTAAATGTTGAGCGGAGTAGTCAATGACTGAATGTACCCCTGCCATGAATCGTACTTACTGATATTTAATGGTGTGCTTCATTCAATGGGAATTATGAATTACTTTGTACATCCGAACTATATATAGTATAATATACTATTCATATCTATAAAAAGGAAAATGACAAATGCCGGGGTGTGTTCTTGGCCACGACTTGTTTACAATTTTTAAGCGTCAGAAAGACAATGACGGCGATTTTAATACACCGGCAAAGGAACCAACGACAAATATTCCGGCTTTTTTCAAGCATAGTCGGATATATATGGATATTGGACTGACTTTGGCTTTTCTATCTATCACTAAAATTTAAAAGTGCAATCACTGTGTGTGTTACGTTCATCATTCAGACGCTCGTACGTGTACATCAAGTTGTCATCATGTGTATCAAATACATTGTATATGTGACCAATACATCTGCAAACTACAACAATCAACAATAAACTTAATTTAAACACATTAGCACTGAAGTCGCACGGATAGTAACAAGTGCAACAAAACTAACAAGTGTCGATAATATGTTCCAGGAAACAGGATGGACCAGATCATTTTATGAAAGATTAAATTCCAAAATCTTTTCCTATTTCCTATATTCACTCTTTCAGGTTCTGTTATTTTTATGTGAGTTTTCTGCGGTTTAAAATATCCGAATAACTAAGTTTTCAGTCAACCAAAGAATAGTACAGATCAGAGACGTATATGGCTTTATATGTCTCTGTACAGATATTCGTGAAAACTTATGTTATTTTATGTCGAACTTCGTCTTGTAGCATGTAGGAGTTATTGCCCTTTAAGCAGTGGAAATATGTGATCCGGGGAAATGGTTTAAACGCTAATTCAGGAACTTCTCGATCTATTCCTCCTCAAGAAGATCCAACCTCTGGACGACAAAGATAGATGGAATTTCGTGAAGGTAACCATTTCTTCAGCATCATGAACATTGATTGAAGTAATACTAATATTCCTATTTTAAGGTGAAAACAGGGTTAGAATTTACAACATTTAAAGCTTGGAAGTAAAAGAATGAGAATGGATGCATCCACTGTGTACTTAGTTTACCGTCAGTAAGCCCCTTGAAATATGAAGCTGTTTAACTATTTTTCGACTCTACTTGTAGTTCTCCTTCTTCGTTTTCCTTCTTTTATCAATTTAATTGTAGCGTTGAGTCATTATTATTACGCTATATATTCAAACGATATAGACGTTTAGATAAAGATCTTAAAATATTATTTGATGGAACGGTATTTTGAATTTCAGAAGCATGACATACCACTGTCTCTTACTGCATCGATGAGTGTCACTTAGAGTAACGTTAATTTAAATGCACAATGACTTCATTTGTAGATCACGCTAATGTTGTCCTAACGTCAATTATGGGGAAAAGACATGTTTGAGAAAGCTCATAAACAAACGCATTTGGACCGAACTGTATAGAAAGAGGTAAAAATGCAGTTTTGGAGTTTTATGACAAATAGTATTAAGAATAATACGTCCTTCTTTAACGCTTCCACTAAAACATTATATATATCCTAAAAGATATATGTGAGTCGATCTTGTTTTATAAAAAGAAATAATGAAAACTAGCAATAGTCAGCATTTTAGCTTCGGCAAGGCACGTCTGGACCCTCAATATGCACGTGCCGTTTATTTCAGGGGTCAGCCTCGGTTCAGATCTGAGCCTGTCGTTTTCTTTTCAGGTTCAGCTTGTTGAAATGGTTGAACCGCATACTTGAAAGGGGCCCAAGTTAAACCGTGATGCTCTATTAGAGTTAATACAATATGTGTACTGTCAATCCTGAATTGTACACGTGAGGTTTAGGATGGCTGTACTTCAGTCGAATCTGAAAAGTTAGAGCGGACACAACGTATGTGACACTGCTAGAATATAATTAACGGATCACCTTCATACGCTAGAGATGAATGTCTATTTGCTTGCCTACATGGAATTCTTCAGACGATAACATAATCAGCCCTTGTCCCAAATAAAGCTAGCTCTTGTATCTCACGCATGAGGACAGAAAACTAAATATCAACCATACTAGACGATAACATCCATGCAGATATGATGTTCTCCGTGTCAACTTAGTTCAAGATCCAAATTTTGGTAAATCTTGGCCATCATTGTTAATATATGTCTGTCACTTATTTTTTGAGCGTTGATCGTATACTTGTACCCGTACAGTATTGGGGTTACTACGGTTTGGTGATGAAGCCTGGTCTTGTATATAGATTGTAAGTGACTACGAACTTATCTGGTATTGAAATGTTGATAGGAGATGAGTTCATTGCAATAGCCTGTGTGAGATCATTTCATCAATTTTGGTCGATAAAGATGTCTAAGGCCAATCAAAGGACAATACTGACCATTGCCCTGGACAATATAGCGAAGTCAATGACAACTACAAATTATTAATGTAATAATCGCAAATCAGAAGAAATTCAGGAAGTCCGTATCAGCTGCCCTTACTAACCGAACAGTCATTTGAGTATTACCTAACATACTTTTGTGCCAACAATAAAAATTGAATTCAGTCGATACCTCGAGGTCCGCGTTACTCCCTCTGGGAGGCTCCATGACACTGTTGAGGAAGATTGGATTCGAGATTTCCGATAACCTTATGTAAGATGATGAATTTCCATTGAACAAGTATTCCCATTGTATCAGTGTGGCGATACAAACAGGTCCGAATGCCATATCGATTAAATCTTCAACACTGGAAACTGGTGATAGTGACATTCATATCAGTAAGTAGCAACAACGGGAGTTGGTGATAGTAACATTCCTATCAGTTAGTAACAACAACGGGAGTTAGTGATAGTAACATTCCTATCAGTTAGTAACAACAACGGGAGTTAGTGATA